CTTCTTGATTATGATGAATACAACGTTTCGGAGTATACATCCACAGAAAAGCTCTCTTCCTTTTGAAATAACTTTGTTTTTTAAATCTTTGAGAATTATTCTGTGATGAAGTGTTTTGAGAATATTCCTTTATCCCTCTTTACCAACTTGAAATAAAGTAAACAAATATTATTCAGTTTGAACACAGTTATTATCATTGAGGTCTAGTTATGACACAAGAGATTTCACACAACAGGCCATCATACTTTGTGGCGCCGGCGTAGAAAACAGCTTGGATGTTCTTATACATGAATATTATTCATCATTGAGCGAACTGTTGTTATCCGAGTGTGTATAAGATGTTTAAATATTTGTTGAAAATATATTACTACAGTTGAATAGGCTATGAAAACAGTCACATAATTATTTAAGCACATATCTCTGACTCTGAAAGTATTCATTACTATTTTGACCTTTCCAACACATAACTGTGGTTTCACATATTATATTCACACAATAAGGATAATTAACCCTTGCTGACTCCCCTTTGTCATTGTTCGTCTCCATATGCCAGTCTGTATCCATTACATGCCCCGGGCATCGGTGGATTATTAGTTTATGACCTTATGGCGAATACTTCCTGCTATTGGAAAATGTTGACAATCGACCTTTGACATTCCGTTTTCCCCTGACAGTCACACTACGATATTATCTGACCGATCTGTGCATACATGGCGGATACATATTGACCGAGAACCACCTCCAAGGTGTATGGCGCTCGACTGGAGACTCCCAGTTTGTAATTAACAAGCTTGGCTCATCATTTAGGAAGACGTTTCACTAACAGTAAGGAAAATAATAGTGCATATCTATAATGCGCATATATACACACTCGTAAGCATGTTCTTGGCGCTAACCCATTATTACCTAGGATAACCCAAGCTGCCCGTTAGTCCCTACAAGGTTATAGTCACCTGACTTATCCCACCGGGTACCCATTTTCTGCTTGGTGAACAGTGGCAATTGTGAACAAACTCACCTGCCTAGGTGAGTCCACACCTCGCCTATGGTGTATAACATGTGCTTCGTTGTGGGTCAGGACTGAAGTCCTAGAAACTCTCAGCAGCCAAGCTGCCAAACACAGTCACCCATCCAAGGACTCTCCGATTAACTTCAACTGATTTGTGACCTGAGCTCTATGCACAGGACCAAACACCAGCAAAAGGTATATATCTACTGTAACCTGTACATACCAATGTGTGGGAACGTACATTTTACTATTCAATAATGGTACATGAATTTACATGTTAGTGAAATAAGGTCATTGCAAAAAGTGTTTTTGAAGACATGTCAGTGTATTGATTTAAAACAAATATATACAGTCCATATATATGGAAGATTGGCAAATCGAAATAAAGACAGGACTCCAATTTGACTTTCTTGTCATGCAGGTAATTGCGAATTTTAGATAAAACGAACTCAGTTTATACATCTTTTAGAGTTCGTTACACTCACAATTGTAACTTGATACACACATTGTTGGTAATATTTGTAAGGGCGTTATTATTTGTAGTGTCATACACCCGGCAATGATTGTGGGCTGTTTGAACATGGTCTTGGCGACCGACGTGAAACATTTGGTCATTACGCGTGAACAAACGTAAGACACAACAAGCGCGTGCTGCAAGTCACCTTAGCGCTCTCAGTTTAACACAAGCACACACACATTGCTAAACAGGAGGACACATAAACAAAGTGTGAATGTGTTCTGTATGTGAGATGAATGTGATGTCTGTGTTAGTATTGTTTTTTTATAAGTATGTTTTATGCAAAATGTCTCCCATAACCCATGTGGGTGGCCGATATAACAAAAAAGCAATGTATTTTATGTATTATAAGTATGCATTGTTTCGGGTGGAACTTGAATAATATCTCCCTCTCTCTCTCTCTTTCTCTCTCTCATAAAAATGCAAGTTAATTAAACATTGCCAGGTAAATAAACAATCGAGTGTGCCAAATCAGGTTACGTCGTCACAGCAACAGATTTGTGATTGCAACCTCCACTTTCAGACAGTTGTTAGGAGGTTGAGTGTCAGCACAGACCATCAGGAATTGACACAGGTATTATAGTTAGACGACCATACATCCTCACTATCTAATTTCATCGTCTTTAACATTTACAATGGGTCCGCAAACAAGCCAGACTTGAACCTGATCAAACTCAGGTGAATCAATTGTGAATCAACCCCAGATCTCACAAGAACTTGGCAAACTCTCGTTGACTAATTTCGTGTTGGGACAAGTTCTGCCCATGAGTTGTGTTGCCCTGACCCTGTAGGCCACACTCGTGATTGGCTTCTTCAGTTCGAACAGTTTCGTCAGTGAGAAGCTGGCGTTGTGAGGGTGGGGGTCATGGAACGTCTTGCTCTATTACCAATAAAATGGCGCCACAATCCACTTTTAATCGTCTGTATTGTTACTTGGATGATATCTGTATGATACACATATATTTCATAATGCACACACTACTTTCATTGTGGGGTTTAACAAGTTTAACAGGTGTAAAGCTGTTAATTCAGTTATGCATATTTGTATACAGGCTATGACCTGTGAGGATCTTTTCATCTCCTGCAGTGGACGCGGTTTGTCTATTGTGTCTGTTTGTGTTATGGTTCGGAAGCCCGAATCCTCCCGATAAAGATTTCATGACTTCTTTGAGAGGAATTTAGAAGTTGGAGCAGTAAGGCAGGATAACAATATATGGATGAACAACTTTTCTATCCTCATGCTGTTCATAATTTGCTTGATAATGGTGTCAGAACCTACACCGAATCGTCGCTCTCACAGCAATAAAGAAGTTGTTCATCCATATATTGTTTTAGTTCTTTAAAGATTTCATTGTTTTGATTTTCGTCAAAGTGAAAATAGCTAAGCTATTGCATCGATCGGATGCTTCTAATTGTTGTTCAAATAGGCGTTTATGAAATCTCACTCATTTCTCTGATGTAACACATGTTATATTTGGGACTACACTTTCTTAGTAAAGTGCAGATACTAGTACTTTTATTGGGTTGAGTCCCAAGCGGGATTCGAATCCACACCCTCAGAGTCAGGTACCTAATCGCCTGCACACAAAGTCAGCCATCTAACCCACTCAGCCAGCGCGGCTTCTACAATATGGAAGTCGGACAACTGGTAGTCTAGACCAAGCACTGTATGTACATGAATAAAATGGATAATAAAGAAATTATTACACTCACAAGTTTGTCACACGACTTCTACTTTATGTACCCATCTGATGTCTTATTTTCATATCCATCTGTGTTGAATTCCATCCACGTATTTGAACTCACCCACTTATCCGATGCCTTAGTTTGATATAGATCTATTTCGAATTCAACCAATCATTTGTTTCGACTATCACATATGCTGTGAAGTATGAGAACGGAGGACAATCATTTGGTGTTTTCGACTATCATATTTTACACTATTTGTACCAGTGTTGTGTATTTTCGTTTTAGACTGGTCTGGGAGATATATCATTATCGAACGTGGCAGATATATCATTCTCGAACGAGTGCATTTGTATTTACACCATACCCAAGTGTTTTAGATATGTCACATTACAAGCAGTAATTAATTCTACAGGAAGAGAATTATTCTCCAGTTCGAAATAGAAATAGAGAGGTAATAATACTTAATTATATTATTCACAGATAGATCATTTAAAGCGTAATGATTCCATTATACATGCAAAACTTTTGATCAATCACCCATCATTGCATTTATCATGGAACTAGCTATTCATGTTTTTTGTTCCCTCAAATTAACATGGGAGCTGTTTCGGTTTATAACATGGCATTTCTCTGCGAAATCACTGCCGATGTGACAAATCAGACTTGGCAAGAAATTTTACATTAGCAGAATGGGACGGCTAGTCCCCTGTGACCTAATCTGATTGCAGTTGTTGCCATCGGGCAAGTCATTAACAAAAACATGTCATTACAAACTATCCCTCACGTGTGTGGCGCCCCAAAGACGGAAGGACATTAAAAAGCTCAGTTTCTTCTCTTTGACGAGTTAAAATGATGGTATCATGTAAACCTAGATTGTTCGGGACATTAATGACATATATAAACCGAAAACTACAACGAATTCTGAAGTTAAATCTGTGATTATAAACATGTTAAATTTCAATGTATATCTTTTCCCTTACTGATAAATAAGTTCATTTATAGCAGCTGTTAGAAAAAAAGTGTACTGTACGACCGACGTCAAACGTGTTCATTAATCATGAAAAGATACGCGCTTGTTTCTTTAGATTATTAGTTATAATATGAATGCTTCCATTGTTCTTCTGTGGTAGCGGTAAATGCAAAACGTGTCATCACTTCAGGCTGTTTTCCCACCCTAAATTTAAACTGGTGTGCATTCATATAAATTAGGGACGTTTGTGTAGCCTGGACTTGCCTGGTGACGGTCGCCCCTTGCTGATGTGTCCCGCCATGATATTGCTGAAATATTGTTTAAAACGGGGTAAGACCCAAATGATTCTCAAAACAATTTTTTAAAGGTAAATGATATATTTTTTTACAGTGTCCTCAAACCAACTCACATGTTTGTTTTGCAGATCATGAGGTAACACCATTTGGGATGCCACAGTTCATTGTTGTGCGTTGCTTCCCTTATGTCTCCCCAGAATCTGATGATTGTTGAGCCGAATTCACTAAATTTTATAATTCGTGGATCGGTATGAGATCTTCAACCAACGTATCGTCATGACAAGAAATCAATACTTTATGATTTTGTTACAGGTTATCGATGAAAGAATGGCCTTGAAATCACAATTGGTTGTGATGCCACAGTTAATTTTTATACGTTGCGTCCGTTATGTCTTCCCAGAATCCGATGATTGCAGTGTCGAATCCAATAACGTTGATGATTCGTGGTTTGATGTGAGATCTTCAACCATCGTATTGTCATAACAAAAAATCAATTTTTTATGATTTTGTTACAGGTTATCGATGAAGGACTGGCCTTAAAAATCACAATTGGTTCTCAGCCCCGATATCACCTCTCAGCTGATCGTAATGGCGACAGAGGCACCCCAAGCAACGTACGATGCTGTGGACGGAGACAATGGGACACTTACATATTTTCTTTCGGAAACACAAAATTCATCGACCAATATCACAACAACATCGGGCGGGAGGAGCGAAGAATTGGCGAAAATTGAAATTGCCGTCCAGTCAATAATCCTTTATTTTGCTATTTTTGGTAATTTGTTTGTGCTGATAGTTTTGCGCCTGCGCAAACAGAAGCTCACCCGGATGCAGTGTTTCATTGTCCATCTTAGTTTGGCTGATATATTTGTGGGCATATTCAACGTTCTTCCACAGCTGATATGGGATATCACTTATCGTTTCTCTGGCAACGATTTTCTTTGTCGATCAATGAAATATTTCCAACTTGTGGCAATGTACGCATCGTCATATGTGCTCGTGATGACGGCGATAGACAGATATGTCTCAATTTGTCACCCACTAACCAGCCAAACAATGAATCCCAAAAGAGTCCATCTAATGACTTTGCTGGCTTGGGGTTTAGCCCTTATTTTTTCTATTCCGCAAATCGTAATATTTTCCAGAAAGGAGGTTTATAAAGGTGTATATGATTGCTGGGCGACGTTTGATCCGCCTTGGACAGACTATCTGAACACTGTCTGGTCGTTTGTGTCCATATACGCCCTGCCTACCCTGCTCCTGGCGTTCTGTTATGGGCGAATCTGTCACGTGGTGTGGATCAGTGTAGGTTCAAAGGAGGATAACAGATTCAACAGGAAGAGAAAGAACAAGAGTATCATGTGGAGAATAACGTTCAGGAAGAGTCAGAATCAACAGAACACAGAGGAGGAATCTGACCCAAAATTGTTCAAAAGTAACTCCATGAATCCACGAGGTCATGTGAGGTCAATGTCAAAGTCAAAGGTCAAGACCATCAAGATGACCTTGGCCGTCGTCCTGTGTTACGTCATTTGCTGGACACCCTTCTACACCGCGCTCATGTGGTCGACGTTTGATACAAATGCATCACTAGGCAGTAAGTATATACATATATGTTGACAATCAGTGCATCTTTCTTGTATCCGTGTGTATTCTAGCTCATCAATCGATGTTAAGAAATATGCTGTTGTGTCGAAGTTGAAAGCGAAATACTTCGAGTTATCCAATGTTTAGACTGAACCACAAAAGCATGGACTAATCTTAAGGAATACGCAGGGTTCGACAGTTCACTTCGAGATAACCGTGGGTTCGACACATAAAAGTTCGACACAACGGTATATGACTGTAATGATCCCAATATATAGTCGTTTGAAGGATCAAAAGCTGGTATGCAAATAATCCAGCCAGGTCAGAAAACGTATGACTGATCGCATCTGTATACCGGACAGTAAGATAACATTAAAGGCTTGAGCGGGTCTAGATGTGATGCTATTTGAACCGAACTATAGGAGCTGTCATTCTTATGAACCAGGAATATGACTTCAAGTCCCACACTGGCAGGGTATTAAGCGCGATCGACCGAGCTACTGAGTTAATTACTTTCAGAATCAATAGCCAGTCAGGTGGTGTTCTATTGAATTAATAGGGGGAACCGAACCCTATCAGGCTCCTAAACAAACTACTTTAACCCTAATGTGACTCTTTGACGACCCCCACCATTTAAACTACCGAACAATTTGATATAAATCTGAATACACGATCTGTTACGGATGACATTTTGACTCAGAATGGTTTTACTACTGGTTCTGTGGTTTTATTTAAAAAAAAATTAAATCAATAATAAAAAAATTAATGTTTTATTTTGTTGTGAGAATATTACATCCTTCTCTGACAGTAAAAAGAACTTTACAACACTTACTAACAGAAAACCAGAACGAGAGTTGAGAAGTACTTTCATCAGGGTTCATCGCGATTCGGGAATATACGGAGAAGAAACACAGTCGTGACAGATATTGTGAGGTTCGGAATGCTCCGTAGGCACGTTCTTATTCCACGTACTGTAATCTACGGTTATATAGAACTAAGTATGGTTCGTTATAACCGTATTTCAACAAATGCAACATACACATTTCGATTAAATATACAGCAAGTGTCATATTGCCAGCAATTGTTTTATCGAAACAGTTCGTAATATCCAACAGTTCGTTATATGCCTTTTCGTGACAAACGTATGGTATACATTATATATATAGTACATGTGCTCACATCATTATCCTATGAACACAGTATCGTTATATGCCTTTTCGTGACAAACGTATGGTATACATTATATATATAGTACATGTGCTCACATCATTATCCTATGAACACAGTATCTCCTGAGAGATAAACGTATGGTATACATTATATATATAGTACATGTGCTCACATCATTATCCTATGAACACAGTATCTCCTGAGAGATAAACGTATGGTATACATTATATATAGTACATATCTCCTGAGAGATAAACGTATGGTATACATTATATATGTAGTACATGTGCTCACATCATTATCCTATGAACACAGTATCTCCTGAGAGATAAACGTATGGTATACATTATATATATAGTACATGTGCTCACATCATTATCCTATGTGCTCACATCATTATCATATCATTATCCTATGAACACAGTATCTCCTGAGAGATAAACGTATGGTATACATTATATATATAGTACATGTGCTCACATCATTATCCTATGAACACAGTATCTCCTGAGAGATAAACGTATGGTATACATTATATATATAGTACATGTGCTCACATCATTATCCTATGAACACAGTATCTCCTGGGAGATAAACGTATGGTATATATTATATATATAGTACATGTGCTCACATCATTATCCTATGAACACAGTATCTCCTGAGAGATAAGCACATTAGGCACAAACTAATTGTTTCCTATACTGAGAGATAATTTTGCATGATAGTATTATTTTTGTGTTAAAAATTCCCCCTCTCCATGATTGTATATCTATCGGTCACCTGTTAGGTCGCCCTTCTTCATCGTCATGAACTGAGGTCGACACTTATAATCTTCAGTATCTTCGGTTATCGGTTCCTTCCGGTATATTTCACAGACATCCGAATAGTCATACAGCTCAAGAAAGAAACATAGTTATAGTATGTCTGTAAGTCTGTGTGAAGTCTGTTAACTAAATAACGGAACTGGTATGGTTCGTCACCTACAAAGGTTCAGATGATCTTTATCTTGACAAATATTCATATCATATGTAATGGCCGAGATTCTATATAGAAATGTCAGTATTGAGTTTACCAGAATACCCAAATCACTTATGTTTTTAGCTATCATGTCTTTTCATAACATAAATAGTGTAAATACTCGTGTTGTAACGATGCATCGAACTATCGATGGATTGCAATTGTTGAGTCTCCGATAGCAATTAATCGATGGTAGAAGCGAAAAAGTATCGATGTATCGATGGTATGTGTGACTATCGATAGTTTAGTAATTGACTTCAGTGATAAATGTGCAGCGCAAAATACAGGAAGTACCAGATTCGTTCACTTTGATTTAGAGTTACCCGCCCCTGTTACCTCTTGGCGGCAAACACGGCATGCAACTCGGAGTTTGAAATTGTAAATAGCAGTAAGTTTATGTTTTAAATGTTTACTTGATCTGGGTTTCAAGTTTCCTGTCAGTAATTAATAGAGACTGAAACTACTTCAACTTGTTTCTGCTTCATATAAACTATACATTCATTTGGGAAATGACTTAAAATGAGACAGTTCAAGTGAAAAAATGCTGTAGACTATCGCTATCGCAATAGTTGTTTCCCCCTCAATAGTCACCCCTAACAAATACACACCGACTTTCAATATCAAAATGTGAAGCAAAAATATACAGTGATACAGCTTCAAGAGATTTTTATTATTATAAGATAGATAATTAACATGGGTACTCCATGTGGTGTCGTATGGTCCTGTGCATAGAGCTCAGGTCACAAATCAGGTGAAGCTAAACGTTGAGCTCGTACAGCCCTTGGATGGGTGACCGTGTTTGGCAGTTTGACTCCTGAGAGTTTCTAGGTCCTGCCCCACAACGAAGCACATGTGGTCTCACCTTAGGCAAGCGACTTTGTTCAAAATTGCCTCTGTTCACCCAGCAGAAAGTGGGTAGTGACTAAAATCATGTGACTAATAACCTTCTAGCGCCTCACAGGCAGCTTGGGTTATCCGGGATTATATAATTATAAAGTGTTAGCGCTTTGAGCATGCACAAGTTTGTGGAAAAGGCGCTTTATTACTGGCCATTATTATTACTTCACAAAGGAGTCAAGTATCCCAAAGCCTTCTTCCAGATTATTGTTCGCAACACTGAAATACTTTGCAAGAACACGATTCTTGAAGCAAATAGAAACTGGTAGAATATTTTCATTTGGCCTATGCTCTTAGTCTAAAATATGTCGTGTGGTCCGAGATATTTCAAACGAATTTTATAATGTAACATTTATGGCATTCGATTTATGGCATAAACCTCTGTTCTAGCAGCTTCAGCAAAGCATATGTAGCAGAATATGAAAACACGTGATAGTCCTCCCCAAATTCTATTCCCACTTGTTCTGAAGCATGTAATCTTTTAAAAAGGACAGTTATTACACACGTCTAAAGTGGCGAGAATCTAATCAGTTGAGACTGTTCACTGGAAAGTCACACCACGATAGCACAGAACGTGTAATCTATGAGACAAGGAAGCAATTGCCTATTTCCATTATGTATAGATGCCGGTTCTGTAGTCGCGAAGCGAATATGTATATTCGTGTTTAATGCACCAAGTGGCCAAATGTATTTAAATATAAACATTATATATTTTCCAGAAGAAGAATGGGAATGCAGATCTACCAAAATTTATCTCCTTCATTGTTGCTGTTTTATCACTATTGTATGCATAGCTTTACTCTCTAAAACACAATATAATCGTCGTCTCCATTATCTGACACCTGTGTGTCTAACTATGTGAAAGACTGGTTATTGTGAAAGAACTTCTTTATCCGCAATTTGTAAAAAAAACTCAATGATACATATGCATACAATGTTTTCCGGCTGTTGTCTTCTGAAGTTGATTGCTTTGAAGGTTCTATATATTTTTTTCAATACAGACATGTGGCCAACCTGGTTTGTTTGAACACCAAACACATTCTTCTCCCTTCTTTAATCTAAATCTTTCATCTCCAATGTTTCTTGATCATATTATAAGCTCTATTGCTGGTAATATTCACTTAATCTGCGTCACATAATATACAGTCAAACTATGGCCGAAATAACCTCAAACAAGTTTGATTTTTAGTAATATTAATATTAATATTTACGTAAAAATGGAAAAAAAAGATTGTAACAAAACAAGCCCAGAAACAGATTTCCCCGTGACGTGAACAGGTGTAGGTTAGTTGTCCCGACATGAAATGGATCGCGTACTTTAATCAATAGCCATCTGAAATACATGTCGTCATAATGTGCACTATTTTTTCCTGAAAACGGAAAGTATATTGGAGAATCTGACGCCATGTTCGCATGAGCGCAGCCAACTGTGTTTCTTGTAGTTTCTGTGTGTATGGCAATCACGATCTAATTTACAGTTAACCCTGACAATATTTAGTAGTTTGTGTGGTGTTGGCGGTATGTCTGAACGGAAAGGAAGAATTAGTCTGCTGCAATCCATCCCCACTCCTCTGGAATCGAATCCCAATCTAGCTGTATCCACGGCTGAAGCAGCCAATGTATAAACACACAATGCGGTGTCCGGCTGCTGACGAAGGTGGTAAGACAGCACATAGACAAGTGAGGTATCAAATCATGGCATTCCTAATTTTTCTGCACTCAATATCTGCAGGATTACCATTATAGAGGGTAGGCACACATCGACTTCAGCCTTTCCAGCTGCGGTAATCCCTGTGCTGCACCCACCAAACAATTTTGATATTGGCTTGTCGCTAAATGTAACTAGGCACTGTCTCCTCATTCTGTCTTAATAGATTCCCAATGCAAATCTGCAAACACTTTATATGTTTGGACCAAGTACAT